TTTCAAGACAGAGTTTCTCCGTGTAGTTTTGGTGCCTGCCCTAGATGTCACTCTGTAGACCAGGCTGGCCTTGAACTCACAGAGATCCTCCTGGCTCTGCCTCCTGAGTGCTGGGATTGAAGGCGTGCGCCGCCACCACCAACCGGCAGAAACTCTTCTATTACAACATAGAACTTGGTCATGTGGTATTCCACCATCTAAAATAAAAGTCTTTTCTCTAAACTATAACCCTCCAAATAAATAAAGAATGAAAACCGAGCAGGCGCTGCCTGTTTTAGTATACTGCTTAGACCAGCCAGGTCCCTGCTGTTATGTTCAGTTCACGCGAGTCCCTGGAAGAAACTGGGTCACTCTAGGATGAATTTTAGCCTTCACAGCCACCGGGGAGTCAGCCTCTGGCGAACTGACCAAGTGTAGCTTTGCAAAAGGCTTTTTGTTGTTGTTGTTGTTTGTTTTTTGAGACAGGGTTTCTCTGTGTAGTTTTGGTGCCTGTCCTGGATCTCGCCCTGTAGACCAGGCTGGCCTCGAACTCATAGAGATCCACCTGCCTCTGCCTCCCGAGTGCTGGGATTAAAGGCGTGCGCCATCACCACTCGGTGCAAAAGGCTTTCTTTTTATTGTTACACAATTTACACCTTTATCGCGTCAATTTCCACATACCAAAACCTCCTATCCGAAGCTCCCCAAAGAGACAAATGCCAAAGCAATTCTCAGTCACAGGACACCTCAGTTTTCTGAGTTCTCTCACAACCAAGTCTTGCATAGATTTTGAGCCTCTAGGAAACTCTCAGGTAAGATTCACATACTTCAAAGGGAAGGTACCGGATACAAAAGGCAGCAGTGGCAAAAGACAGATCAAAGCCAGGAGCTAACACTCTGGAATCGAACCAGCTACAGAGCTCTGCACGAACTCTACAGCCTTCCTCTGCAGAACCCGTTCGCACACTGGGCATGCGTTACTGCTGTCTGTGCGCTACCTGAGGTCTTTGAAGCGTTTGCTTTGCTGTTGTCCAGCTTCAAATTTGTCAGCAACATCAAACAACACCCTGATTGTCTCTCTCTTATAAGTGATGTGTTAATTTGAGGTTTTTTTTTTTTAATTTTTCTACCTTTAAATTCCAACATGTGCTCGTGTGTGTGTGTGTGTGTGTGTGTGTGTGTGTGTGTGTGTGTGTGTAGGCCAGAAGTCAACCTTTAGGTTGTTCCTCAGAACGGTTCCCCTTGTTTTTGAGACAGGGTCTCTCATTAGGACCTGGGGTTCACTGATTAGGCTGTGCTAATAGACAGCAAGTCCCATGGATCCTGGGTTGCTGCCTGGCTGGCAAAGCACACCGAGAACTTTACTAAATGAACTATATTTCTAGCCCCTAGATCTAACAGTGTAACTTAACTGTCAGGAGTCAGTTTTCTCAGTACCTAGAAGCATGACCTTAGATGCCAGGCAATCATTGAAGAAGGCTTCTTTTGTTTTTACTTTTTTTAAACAATTATTTTTGGGGAGTGCACCCACAGCAGAGCTTGTGTGGTGGTCAGAGGGCAATTATCAGGAGTCACTTCTCTCCTAACACGTGGGTTCTGGGGTCAAACTCAAGTCATCAGGCAGAAGTTGCCTTTTACGCTCTGAGCCATCTTGAGGACCCGGGTGTTCCTTCTCTGTGAAGGTCCCTGTCTTATTCCAGAGAAGTTTTACGTGATTTCTCATGATACAAGTTTTTCTGACTTCCATGACTGTTTCTGTTTTTTTCCATCTTCCTTTTGGTTTAAGATGTCTTTTTATTTTATTTGTATGGGTGTCTGTGTACCCATGGAAGTCTGAAGGGGGTGTTGGCTCCCGTAGGACTGGAGTTACAGATGGTTATGAGCCCCTGTTCGGGTGCTGGGAATCGAGCCTGGGTCCTCTGGAAGAGCAGCCAGTGCTCTTAACAGCTGCGCTGTCTCTCCAGCCCCCTTTCTTTTCCTTCCTTCTCCTAGTTCCTTCATTCCTGTTCCCTACATCCACAAATGCTTTGCCCTGTCTTATCACAAGGAAAGGATTTTTCTTTTTCAGTTTTAGAATAACTTTTGTCTTTTTATTCAATTTTTTTTCTGGCAATCTGTGCAATTATTTGTCTCTTTCTAGTCAGCATGTTAAATGTTCAAATTGCTTTCTCTTTCTGTGATTATTTTTCCATTCCTTACTGGAGTTAATTCACTTGGGGGCATTGTTTTTTCTCTTCCATGAGTTTCTTAGTAAATATGTTCACTGGCCAGAGATGTCTGATCTACCTTTTCTGTATTCTGTGTTAGGTTTTGCCCTTGATGTTGGATTTTCCTCCTAAGCAGCAGGGCTGGGGATGGGGTGGTACTTTGCTGGTGCCCTCTTGTGTTGATACAGTGAAGTGCAGCTTAGGGAAAACATTGGCACCTGGTTTGTGTAGGTTGCTGATTCTATAGTCTTCTTATGCTTTCGTATTTTCATGTGTCTATAGAATGTTCCCTTTCTTCAGACATTTTCTCTTTATAAGGTGTCTCCTTGGAACTGTCTCCCCAGCTTTTCTCTGTCCCCTTAAGAATTTCAAATCCTTCTGGGCAGTGGTGGCCTATGCCTTTGATCCCAGCACTTGGAAGGCAGAGGCAGGCGGATCTCTGTGAGTTTGACATCAGCTGGGTCTACAGAGCTAGTTCCAGGACAGCTGGGACTAGACAGAGAATCCCTGTCTTGGAACCACACACACACACACACACACACACACACACACACACACACACGCAAAAATCCTGAATCCTGTTCTTGTGGCTCCGGCCATACTTACCTCAGCTCTCAAATTGTTCATTCACTAGAAGAAGAAACCCCCTGATTCATGCATGAATGGATTTTAATGACATCGTTGTAAGTACCCTCATTTATTTGAGATGAAGCCTGTTTAGTTTGCTTTCTCTTTCTGTGATAAAGACCATGATCAAAAGCAACCTGGGAGCCGGGTGGTGGTGGCGCACGCCTTTAATCCCAGCACTCAGGAGGCAGAGGCAGGCGGATCTTTGTGAGTTTGAGGCCAGCCTGGTCTACGGAGCAAGATCCAGGAAAGGCGCCAAAGTTACACAGAGAAACCCTGTCTCGGAAAAACAAAAACAAAACAAAAAAAAGCAACCTGGGGAGAAAAGGGTTTATTTAGCTTATACTTCCTGATCAGAGTCCATTGTTGAGCAAAGTCAGGGCAGAACTCAAACAGGAATTCAGGCAGGAACCACAGCGGAAATACTGTCACATGCCCATCAGAAGTATGTCTCTTGGCGGACCCCAGATCCAATCAAGTAACAACCAAGCTTGACCTCACAGCCGTCATGGCGAGTTTGACCACGATTATTTGCTTCTTTGAAATTAGTTGCATCATGTAACTATAAGGTCTTTTACAACGGCAAGGCATCTCATCCATCCCTGTTAACCTGTTTACAGCATCTCAGGGTCTTCTTTGTGTGTGAGTGACTTGTCTCTTAACTTCCAGTTCATGCTGTAAGGCTGGCTGGAAGAGAAACTCGACTTCATGAACCTTTTGCAAGCGACATCTACCAGATAGCTGATGAGATTGTATCTGCTCTGCTCCCCATCATCCAGGATAAAGCGTTTGCATTTTTTGGCCACAGGTATTTAAATTTTGTTGTACACAGCATGTGTGGGGTTTAGGATGGGCATGATAGAGCACTTGCCTATCACATGCACGGCCCTAGAGAGGTTCTTTAACCACAAGTGTGTGTGTGTGTGTGTGTGTGTGTGTGTGTGTGCGCGCGCGCGCGCGCGCTTTGTGTTTTGTGAGATACAACTTCTCCTGGTTAAGCAGAATGTTGAGTAATTATCTCCAATCAAAACTTTTACAGTTCTCTAATTTGTGTAGGAGTTACACCTAAAATGAAGAATCTACCAGAAGCTTCTATTTACTTTTCTAATTAAAAAAATACAGAAATAGTATTTACTTCCCAAGGGCATAGACCTAATTGCAGACCCCCTCAAAGATACATGGCCATGACCTTGGGCAAATTTCTTAGGCTTCTAAACTAGTTTCCACCTCCATGAAACTGGAAGGAGTAGTTCTTACCTACGGTGATGAAATGAATAGAGATCACGAGGCTGGAGAGAGAGCTCAGTAGTAAACAGGGCACACTGCTCTTGCTTCAGACTTGAGTTGGGTTCCCACCACTCCCATCAGGCAGTTCCCAACTGCCTGTAACTCCAGCTTCTAGGAATCTGATGTCTCTGGTCTCCATAGGCACCTGCACTTCACGTGAGCATGCCCCCATACAGATGCACATGCACACACATAATTAAAAGCAGATAAACATTTTAAATGAATAGTGATCACAAAGAACTGTGGTGTGCGGAAGTGCAAGACACGTGTGCCGTGGTGTGAATGTGGAGGTCAGAGGCCAACCTTCAGAAGTTGTTTCTTTCCTTGCACCGTGAGAGGCAGAGATCAAACTAGGTCATCAGGCTTATGTAGCAAGTGCTGGTATCTGCTGAGCCATCTCACTGGCGCTACAGATAATATGTTAGTATTGGTTGGAAAATACTTTTAACTTCATAGGTCATCGAATGGTGTCTTAGAGTACTATTGCTGTGACGAAACACCATATCCAAAGCAACTTGGGAAGGAAAAGGTTTATTCCACTCATGCTTCCACACTACAGTCCATCCCTGAAGGTAGCCAGGCCAGGAACTCAAACAAGGCAGGAACCTGGAGACAGGAGCTGATACAGAAGCCATGGAGGAGCACTGCTTACATGGCTTCCCCCCATGGCTTGCTCAGCCTGCTTTCTTATAGAACCCAGCACCAGCCGTCCAGGGAAGACACCAGCCACCATGGGCTGGGCCCTCCCCTATCAATGCCCTACGGAGGCATTTTCTTAATTAAGGTTCCCTCTTCTCAAGTGACATTAGCTTGTGTCTAATTGACATAAAACTAGCCAGCACAGATGGAGTCTTGGAAGTCCCTGGGTGCCCCCAGAGCACAGTTTGAGAACTGTTGATATGCATCGTAAGAACAAAGTAACATGCAGCTTTAGCGGAGAAAGGAAACAGAAATTAAGCCGTTCCTTGTGTTAGTCAGCTGCCCACGACTGCAGCCAAATACCTGACCATCAGTTTCAAGAGAGAGCAAGTCCCCTGCCCCCGACCCGTGTGTGTGTGTGTGTGTGTGTGTGTGTGTGTGTGTGTGTGTGTGTGTGTGTACACATGTGTGTGTGTGAATGGATGGGTGTATGTGGTGGGGGAAATACACGGGAAAGTCGGAGAATGAACTTGAATGTTGGCTCTTAGTCCCCATCCATCTTTTGTTCAAGGTGGGGGTCTCTCAGTGGCCTGGAACCTGGCCACATACGCCAAGCTAGCAGGCCCAACATCTTTCAGGGATCTTCTTATTTTTGTCCCTCATTTTTGCATTGTTGAAATTTCAGGCCTGAGCAGCAGGACTGAGCTTTTTACATTGGTTCCGGGGATCAGAACTTGGGTCAGCACATAAGTGCGGCCAGTGCTTTCCTGACTGAGCTGTCTCTCAGCCCTGGAACTCTTACTATGTGACATATACTTTTTACAAGCCAGTGATCAGCCACTTAGCTTTTGCCCGACCCTCGGTCGCCGCTGTGCTCGTGACACCTGGTCCCCGTGAGGTTTGCCTACCCGTTTGTCACGTTGACCTCTTCCCTGGTTTAGTTTGGGATCCTACATTGCCTTTCTGACCGCACTGCGCCTCAAGGAGAAACACAAAATGGAGCCGCTGCACTTATTTGTGTCCAGTGCATACGCCCCCCACGTAAGTGCTCTGGTTTTCTTTGGGTGGGGGGATGGAAAAGAGGGAAATGGGGTACTGATGACTGAGTCATTGTGCTCCTTTGGGATGAAGACACGGATACCATGTGCTATTGAAAACCCCTGTGATCTTTCCCTGTATTTCTCGTGGTCCCTCTGAAAGTCCCTCCGAAATGAACTTTGGCTTCTGAGTATTGGCTCATTGTTTCTGCCCCTCTGAGTGGGTGCTGTCCTTCTCTGCTTTCCGTCCTAAGCATGTTGTCTGAGTTGGGAACTTAATCAACTTTCAGGAGAGGAACCAATCAGTGCTGGGGAAGAATCTTAAAATGATGCCAAACTTTTGGATCAGCTGTGGCTTTTGAAGCTAGTTCCGTGATTCCGGGTCCCTTCTTGCCAACTTCGACCTTCTTTGCTTCCTCTGTACAGACTGGAACGGGCCTAGCATACTAAATCGAGAATGCCATTGGAGTGGCTTTCTGATGCTAAGGTTATTATGACACTTTCCTCTCCCTCTTTGATTTAAGGAGGCAGGTTTGAGTTTGGGGGCTAGCGTGTCTCATGAATGATCAGCCTTGTGTTTGTTGATGTTTCAAGTCAAAATCCCGGCCTCAAGTTCCTGAAATTAACAAACTGTCAGAAGAACAAATCAGATACTTCCTTAAGAATTTTGGAGGCACCCCCAAGCATCTCATAGATGACAAGGATTTTCTCAATCAGTGCATTCCCATTCTGAAGGCAGATGTTATCGTTTTGAAAAACTTCGTGTAAGTAATTTCCTCCCTCCCTCCCTCCCTCCCCCCTCCCTCTGTGTTGATATTTATAGAAAAATATTAGCCAGACGGTGGTGGTGCATGTCTTTAATCCCAACACTCAACAGTCAGGGCCAGGTGGATCTCTGTGAGTTGGAAGCTAGCCTGGTCTACAGAGTGAGATCCAGAACAAACAGGGCTACACAGAGAAACCCTGTCTCAAAACCCCATCCCAAAAGAAAAGAAAAATATAGACTGGCAGTTCACAGAGACTGTGTATGTGAGATTCTAAAGGTTGCAAGGTGTTTGTTTCTTCTGAGGCCTCCTGTGATATTTTGACTAGCTTAGAATGGATTTTGGGCACAGAAATTGTGGCAGATGTTTTCTTTAAAAATATTTATATATTTATATAAATTTATATATATTTATAATAAAATGTATTGAATAAACTATTACAATTCCCAGTCTAGGTATCAGCAAGAGTGGATGGGCTACTTAAGTGTGGAAGGCACAGAGCAGGGAGCAGAAGTTGGCCAGGTTCACTGTTCAGTGAGTGAATTGCAGAACTCCACACCACCTCTCCATCCCCTTCTCTTGGAGGGCATTTGTCTCCATGCTTGGTTTTTCTGATCAGACTGAAATGTTAAAAAGCCAAATCCTTCCTGAGACCCTGAGTCAAGTGGGGGCGGGGCTTCCTAGTCTTAGCTTCCCCAGAGAAATCACTTTGGGGTCAGCATTTAGCCTCCTGTATTCTCATGCCTGGCTAGGCCTGGCTCCCCTGGGCTAGGACCTTTAAAAGCATATTTGTTTCTCTCTCTTTTTTTTAATTTTTTATTTTTTTGGTATTTTTTGAGACAAGGTTTCTCTGTGTAGTTTTGATGCCTGTCCTGAATCTCGCTCTTTAGACCAGGTTGGCCTCCAATTCACTGAGATCTGCCTGGCTCTGCCTCCCGAGTGCTGGGATTGAAGGCGTGTGCCACCACTGCCTGGCCATATTTGTTTCTTTTGCAAAGCCCAGAACTAGCATTGGGACAGTGTGTGTGTGTGTGTGTGTGTGTGTGTGTGTGTGTGTGTGTGTGTGTCATGCTACTTGCCAGTGGAAGTTGACAGTTATAAAAATGGGGCAGTCATCTTGAGAAGCACCACAATTCCATCATTCTTCAGTCTGCCACAAAGTTCACAGTGTCACCCTCCCATCCCCCACCCACCCACCCCTGCAGATATTCCAGGTCCATCCTCTTCTCACCGTTTCTATCTGATTGATCATCTCACCAGGATAAGCTGTTTTGTGTTTCTGAAAAAGGTCAGAATGAGAGAGAGAGAGAGAGAGAGAGAGAGAGAGAGAGAGAGAGAGAGAAGAGAGAAGAGAGAGAACACATTTTTGAAGAGCTAGTATGCAATAACAATCTAAGAAAATCAATTTAGTGCCCATTAACATTCTAATGATAGTCTTCATAGGAATAGAGGAAAAATTCTTAAAATTCATATGGAAGCACAAAAGACCAAATTGCCAAAGCAATCCTGAACAAAAACAAACAAACATCCAAACAAACCAAAAATACCAAACAGGTATCACCACACCTGACTTCAAATCATACTATAGAGCCATAGGAAAGAAAGCAACTTAAAAACAGATGCAGACCCCTGGAATGGAAAGAGGGCTACAAATGAATCCTCGCAGCTGCAGGTATCTGAGTTTTGACAAACCGGATATCCATATGTGGATAAATAAACTAGGTCCTTCCTACATTGCCTGAAAAAAATCAGTGAGAGGTGGATCAAGACCAAAAATGTTGAAACTGTGTAGGAAGCAGGCCAGACAGATCTGCGTACAACTCCGTGCCAACGGCGGCTGCGGTGGGTAGCGATGTGGTCGCAGTCTTGAGGGTCGCTAAGAGCAGTGTTTTAAATTGTTCTTGTCACAAAAAGACCAGTTGGTGTGCAGCTGTCTTCATTTAGCCGGTTTTATTCGTCAGTTCCAGCAGTAACGTAAGACACGTTCGCAGGGATAGCAAAGGCTGCCAGGAGCAGGCGCACGTGAGCCAGCTCTGGATGCTAAGATTTCCTTAGAATAGAAAAACTCTCTTAAAATGTATTAATTGAAAACTAAGCTTTAGGGAGTGAAACAGCATAGAGCAGGTGTAATAAGAGACATACCAACTAACATATAGAATTAGAGAGCTCACAAATACAGTCATGTATTTATGCTAACTAGCAGAGTGCCAAGAATATACTCTGGGGAAAAGGACATTCTCCTTGTTTATTTAGAGTGGGCGGGGGCTGAGTGTAGAGCATGCTAAAGTGTTCAAGTGGAGGTCAGAGGTCAGCTTGGGGAGCTGGTTCTTTCCTTCCGCTATGTGCGTCCCAGAAATTGAACTCAGGTAATGAAGCTTGGCGGAAGCGTCTTGGTGGCTAGCATCTTGGCCCATTGAGCCATCTTTGGCCCAGGACAGTCTTTTTAATTAATAAAGAGTTTTGAGAAACTGGATATCCAATGTAAAAAGAAGGAAACTGGATTTTTTTTTACTTTACACACACATCATACAATAATATAGAGTGTATGTTTATATGTGTACAAAAATCATCATATGAATTATATATATGTAATTCAAAATGAATTAAAGGCAACCATAGATCTGATGCTATAAAACTTCTGGAAGGAAATATAAAGGGAAATTTCCTGACTTTCTCTAGGTGATGAATTTTTTTTTTTTTTTTTTTTTTTTTTTTTTTTTTTTTTGGTTTTTCGAGACAGGGTTTCTCTGTGTAGCTTTGCGCCTTTCCTGGAGCTCACTTGGTAGCCCAGGCTGGCCTCGAACTCACAGAGATCCACCTGGCTCTGCCTCCCGAGTGCTGGGATTAAAGGCGTGCGCCACCAACGCCCGGCGAATTTTTTTATATGATCCCCAAAAAGAGCAAAGAAAATAATCAACAAAGAGACATATAGATTTGGAGAAAATATTTACAAATTATACATCTGATAACACCACACAGCCTCACATATATGGAATCTATAAAAGTCAACAGATAGACATAGAGAGCAGAATGGAAGTTTCCATTTGCCAGAAGGGAGGGGAGGAATGGGGGGGGGGTACTAGGCAGAGCAGGGTTTCGGTTGTCGAGAAGACAATTTTGAGATCCATTGGGCATCATGGTGAGTTGCTAATAGGACCGCAGCTTCTAAATGTTCACACTGTCAAAAGAAGTAACCATGTGAGATAGTGTATAGCTTCCCTTAATCACTATACTCTTCCTAGTTATCAAAATATCACACTGTGTCAGTTACTCTTGTCAATTGAAAAGGTGTCGTTGATATGGTAGGTACAGAACCCAGGGCTTTGTGCAGCCTAAGTAGGTGTTCTACTACTGTGGTGCTTCTCCAGCTCTTGGAATTTTGAGATATGACCATTTTCAAGTTCACTGATTCTCTCTCCAGCTGTGTCAAGTCTGTTGACGAGGCTGCCAAGCAAATTCTCCTTTTCTGTATACATTTCTAAAAGTTACATTCAAGTCTAGCGCTCAGTTCATGATTGGAAAACAGTCTGGCCCCCATGAACCTCAGGTCATTTCTAGTGGAGAGACAGTCCCTGTGAACATCTTCCTTGTGGGGACCAGTGGAAGACAGACAAGAAGCAAGGCTATGCACCCTGTTTCATTTCAGTGAAGCCAGGGAGAGGAAAAGACTGGAATGCGGAGGATGCAATGACAAATGAGTTCTTTCACTTTGCAGCTTCGACACACCCTCAGAAGCCCTTCTTTCTCGGGACATAACATGTTTTATTGGATCTGAAGATACGGTAACGGACATAGAAGGTGAAATTGCTTTTATAATTCTGGGAATTTTGTTGAAATAGGCATTGGATGGTTCTCAGCAAATGTCAACCAGTAGTCACTGAAACAGATAGAAAAACCAGCCCAGGTTTTGCTGGGTGTAAACAAAGAGATGTTGGTCTCCTGTAAAATTTAAGATACAGGTCACACCACTGACAACTGATCTGTCATAAAGAGATTAAACAACACAGGATACAGAGAACCTGAGACCCGGGAAGTAACTCTATCACTGAGTGTCAGCTTTTGGTGAAATAATACCTGGAAGTAAGTCTTTTGTTGTCATTGGCTGAGGCCATCTATTGCTGAATAAAATTCTGTATATTTCTTAGGCTGGGAAGACATAACCAGTGGGAAGACTGATGTCCACACGCTGCCAGGTGATCACTTTTATCTGTTTGAACCCAACAACGAGAAATTCATCAAGAACTACATAACCAGGTGTCTGGAGCTGTCGTCACTTGATTGCTTTTAGATGGGCTTTCTTCGGTCTTTCCAACGTGCAAACGGATCACAAGCTGTGATCATGGGGTCATGGAGATGTAGCTCTTTATTTTTCAGAGACCAGAAAGATGCATATTAACGAATGTCTTCATGGAACATTTCTTTATCTGGGGAAGAGACGAATGCTAAAAGCCAGGGAGGCAGAGGAGCTATTGTAGTTGATAGGTGCAGCAGGGAGAGGGTTTTTTTTGGGGGGGGTGGGATGTCACCACTAGTATGTTACTCATGCTCCAGTGAATGCCACTGCACACTTGTGGCACATGTAGGCAGCAGTAATTGGACTTAGTGAGCTATTTAAAAAGAAGAAGAAGAAGATGAGAAGAGGGTAAAAAGTTGGGAGGGGCACATGGTGGAGGACGTCTGTCAGGGGGGTTGGAAAGGCAAGTGAGGGGTGGATGTGATCAAAACATAATGTATACATTTAGGAGAATTTCAAAGGATAAATAAAAATATTGTTAAAGGAAGAAAACTTCTGCTAGAGTCCTTTATCTTATTAGAATCTAATTTGATTGACATTTATACAAAGCTTTTCAGCCAAGTGCCTCCAGGTGGGGTTACACTGGCAGCCTCTCGCACTATTTTAATGGCAAGAGTGACTGACAGAGGGAAATTATCATTTCTCCAATACCACACTGTGGCTCAAAGTTTAATCTTTAGAAATATACATTAGACCTATTTCATAAGAAGTAATTGCTGCTTTATCAAAATACAATGCTAAACAGTTACTGTCCACTGTGATAGGAAGACCTCAGGATGCTTACAACCCCAGGTGTCTTGTGGTCCTGCTGCCCTGGCAGTGATTGGCTGGAACTCAGAGCCTCTCCATGGGCCACTAAACCACAGCCTGGTTAGGTAACTTGTCCATATCACATAGGAAGTCAGGAAGTGGCCCGGAGGCGAGTCTACCTGGCATTCCGCAGTGCCCACATTCGTGGGGGTCCAAAGCTACATGATGCAGCAAAGGAAGTGAACTGTTCCTGTTTGTCCAGCCCACTCACCCTCGCCTTCCGTTTCAGGCTTTTCTTTTTTGAGACAGGGTATCACCACGTAGCCCGGCTGTCCTTAAACTCATGACCCCCCCCTCCCCCTGCTTCACTTCCTGAAGCACTGGGAATAGTCTAGCTGCTATTAATTCTCAACAAACTGTTCTTGTTGCCCAGTAGCACCAACTCATTGTAGAAGAACAGATTAAGTCAAGCAAACAAATACTGGGGCTCGGGAGATGGCTCAGTCAGTTAAGTGCTTGCCTCATAAGCATGAAGACCCGAGTTCAAGCCCCAGATCACCAAGCATGGTGGAACACATATGGAATCCCACTGCTAGGGAGGCAGAGGTAAGAGGTATCTGGGGCTAGTTGGTCTAGTGTACTTGCTGAACTCCAAGCCGATGAGAGACCCTCCCTCACAGGAAGTAAATAGCATGCCTTAGAAAAACCACCCAAGGTTGTTCTCTGTCCTCCACATGCATGCAAACACATGTGTAACACACACATATGAACACCCATACACAGACACAAATGCAAAAAAAGGAACAGATATTTATTCAAGTTTATATGCATACTACAAAACAATTTTTGAAAAGGAACTTTTAAAAAGTCACCTTGCACAAGCAAGTAAAACTAGGTAACTATGTTGACACAGTCCTAAGTATTAGAATTCATGCTAATAGGAAAAATACACATGATTTTTAGAGTTACTAATGCATTTTCCCCTAAATGTCATGATGCTGTGTGAAGGCTTCCAAAGGAGATCTGTCTTCCCTGTCAAATTCTAAATCCCATATTTCTCAATCAGCTCTCTTGCTTTAGAAATATAGGCACTCATGGCATCTTCCTTCGACAACCCTAGAGAGAGACAAACACGTTATCGCACTGACGGGTACGGTGGGATGTGAAAAGGGTCTCTTCTAGCCTTATTTAAGGGTTAACAACCTTTCTGGAGGCTCCATGCTTCCCACTTGGCCTTGCCCTTCAAATCTAACATTGCTGGACACGCTGCCAAAAGGAGAGAGATTTAATGTTACTTCTCACTGTGCCCGTCTACAAACACTGTGCAAACAAGTATATCGATCTGTCTAAAACAGTGATTGGGTACCACCAATGTTGATGTCTCCAATGATGGACTGTTTGTAGAGCCCATAGAGTTCTTTGAGCTCTTCATCTTCAGGTCTGCTTTTCAGCTTCCTCACGTCTTGTGTGGCCTGGTCAAAATCAGCCTAGGGCAAAAGACATCAAGGACACACTAAACACACACATGTGGTGTGAACACACACCTGCAAGTAAGACATACCCATAAAATCTAATTTTTTTTTTATCATAAGTCTCATGTCAACTGATTTCCGGTAGAGAGAAGTTGGTTAGCTTACTCTGGAAAAATGGTTGTAATCTCTCCCTCTCCTCTCCTCCCTCCGTGTATAACAAATGCTGAAGAGAAATCACTTTACCAAGAGAAAAGCTGGTGAGCAGCCATGGGTGTGACCACAGAGGTGGATCGGTAGCTAAAGAGAAGCATCTCTGAAGGAGCCTGCCTCAAGAAGCTGGTATTGGCAATGCATCTTGGGTAAGAGTGTGCAGGTATCCAGTTGGAAGACACAAGCTAGAAAAGCTGCTCCTGACAACCCAGGCAGAATTCACTAGTGTTGAACATACAGGGTGGGTCAAATCACATCAGTTTCTTTTCCCCATATATTTACAATCAACGGCAGGCATAACTAGTCACCTTAATCCCTATTGTCAAGTCCTTGTCTACTGACCCATGGCAAGAGCCTGAACAAGGACCGTTAGGTATATCCTTGGTGGGTGGATCAGAACATTATCACAGTTGGCATGTCTTTACATGTGCAGCCGTTGACAGTGAATTTCAAAACATTCTGGGCAAAAGGAATGCCACCTTCCCTAATTCCTGTGCCCTGAGAGCTGGGTTCCTATGGCAGGCATTTCTGTTTTGGCTAACTGAGTTTTCAGCATCCTTGTTGGATGTTTGTCCTTGTGATCTCCCTCTTTCTTGTGAACAATGCCTTCCCTGCTCATGACTGTGCTCCAAGGCCCTCCTGTTCCCACTCATCCTGTGGCAGGGAAGAACCCACAATGAGCACAGAATACCATCTCAAAGAACGACTTGGGGCCTCTGGATACTTCTGTTCAAATTTCACCCCTCTGAAGATAGTCTTTGAGGGTGACTCACAATTTACCTTCACTTTCAGGAGAAAGTGAATTGAACAGTCAGTCAGCTTACATACGACCTTGATAAAGCCCTTTGAGCGGTTCTTCCTTGTTGAAGGACTGAATTAGGAAGATAAACCCCTCAGTCAAGGCACTGAAATTATTTGAAGCGCGCGCGCGCGCGCGCGCGCGCGCGCGTGTGTGTGTGTGTGTGTGTGTGTGTGTGTGTGTGTGTGTGTGTTCTGACTGTAAAATCACCCCCTCCTTCTGCCTCACCACTTTCTGTGGTGTTTTGGGATCAAACCCAGGGCCTCTTGCAAGCATTCTACCACTGAGCTGCATCTCCAGCCCGGAAGAGACACATCCCTCACCCAGTCCACTGCGGTCCCTTCATCACCTAACAAGGAAATGGGTCTAAGTGAGATGACTGTCAGGCCAGGTGTGAAAGTGAACACCTGGAGTCCTAGCACGAGAGAGTCTGAGGCAGCAGGGTCAGCTGAGGTTTGAGGCTTGCCTGAGCTACACAGCTAGACTAAAAAAAAAAAAAAGTTAACCCAAACAAAACAAAAGACCTATATTACAATTTACAAATAAAGTTGGGAGATAACTGAATTAGGAGTTCCATCTCTGTCTTCACTTCCAGGACAATGGTGAATGTGCCCTCCCTGTCACTTCCACTCGTGAGCCCCAACAGCACCCAGGAGGTTCATGATTTCCATCCCAATGCCATTTCCATTCCGAAGAGAGAAGAGGTTGGAATATACTTTTTAGTTTTTCTATAAGTTAAAATTTTGATTTTTGAAATCATTTTAGACCCAGGTACAAGTCATAAAAATACCTCATCTTTTGTGTCTATCAGGCTTCCCTGGGTATAGTCTTTGTAACAAGTACTTACACTTCTCTCAGTGTGCAAATGAATCACCAGTATAGATTGCTGCAGGCTGCAGAAATATATCATAACTCAGCTGGTTATGGCAAAGTCTCTACCTGGAGGGATCAGGGAATTCCTCTAGAGGAAGCCAAATTCCAAGGAGTTTTTGGTGTTACTTGGCTTGCTATATATCAGCTGTATTCTGTTATGAAAATCATGTGTGCCTTCATAGTTTTTCCAATTGACTTTCCCCTAAGAAGGACTAACAGTGTAGACTGATCACTCTCTGGACATATACTTTCCAGGTATTTGGAGAACAGCCTCAAGAAAGGCTTTCTCTGGAATCAGATTATCTCCCTTAGCCACTTTCAAGGACTACAGGAAACACCATCCAGGTGGGTGCCCAACTTCCGAGGACTAACAATGATAACAGCCCACCTGCAAGTCTCCTGACTTACGGTAAATTTCACAAGGAGACACCGCCTAGGAGAGGTGGACGTTAATAGCTTTACACAATTTAGCTCGGACCCTCCCTTTATATACCAGGACTTCCAGGGCACAGGTCAGAGAAGAGAAAAGAGAATGGAAGAACTAGATGGGTAAGAACTTGAGAGGAAAGAACTGAGATAGGGAAGAACTAGACTAAAGGGCTAGAAGAGAGGACAAGAGGAACGAGATGGAAGATGAGGAAAAGCCAGATGGGGAAGAACAAGATGAGGAAGAGCCAGATGAGAGAGAAGGATACGGGAGAGGAGCTGATAGGGGAAAGAACTAGAGAGATGAGAACCTAGAAGGGACAGAACTAGATGAAGGAATTAAGATAGAACCTAGAGGGGACAGTAGATAAATATAGAGAGAAATCAGGCAAGAAAGGAGCTAGACATGAGAGCAGAATAGAAGCTGTGCAGAGAGAACTATCACAGAATAATAATAAAGTGTATGAACTAAGGAGTTTCGTGTACATAGATTCATTTCTTTTCACCAAAGATTAATTATCAGCTGGTTGTAGATTCTTCCTGGACCCTGGGAGGGGACTATCGAGGGGCTGAACCCCTATAGTCCCCGATAATAGGTGTGTGTGTGTGTGTGTGTGTGTGTGTGTGTGTGTGTGTGTGTGTGTGTGTATGTGTGTGTGCGCATATGTGTTAGGGTTTCACTATGTTGTCCAGGCTATCCCGGAATATTCAGGCTTAAATGTGTATTGTGTTCCCCAAAATATTGTGCACACTAATAAACTTATCTGGGGTCAGAGACAGAACAGCCACTAGATACAAAGGCTAGAAAATGGTGGCACTCACACCTTTAATCCTAGCACTCCAGAGGTAGAAATCCCTCTGGATCTCTGTGAGTTCAAGGCCACTTTGGAAACAGCCAGGCATGGCGACTCATGCCTTTAATCCCAGGAAGCAAGCCTTTAATCCTAGGGAGTGATGGTAGAAAGCAGAAAGGTATATAAGGCGTGAGGACCAGAAACTAGGAGCATTTGGCCTGGTTAAGCATTTGGCTTGGTTAAGCATTCAGGCTTTTGAGCAGCACAGTTCAGCTGAGACCCATTCTGGATGAAGACTTAGAGGCCTCCAGTCTGAGGAAACAAGACCTGCTGAGGATCCAGAGCGGTGAGGTAGCTGTGGCTTGTTCTGGTTCTCTGATCTTCCAGTTCACTCCAATACCTGGCTCAGATTTGATTTTATTAATAAGAACTTTTAAGGTTTGTGCTACACTTAGATGATCCTCTTACTTCAGTTTTTCCAGTGGTGGCAAGTGAATCCAGGATTCCTGCATTCTAAGTAGGTGCCCTACTGACTGGTCCGCACATGCCAAATCCCCTTCGTTTCTTAAATGGACTTCCAACCTGCCTTTGTCCTTCTCTGCTTGAGCTACTTTTTGTTTTGGTATTTTTTTCTGAGACAAGGTCTCATGTAGCACAGTACTGCTTTGAATCTGCCATATAGCTAAGGATGTCCATGGACCCCTGATCCTCCTGTCTCCACGTCCTGAGTGCTGGGATGACTGCCGTACCTGGCTTGGACTATCCCCCTCTAGAATATATTGTATTTTTTTATTATATTATTTAATTAGTAAGAATTTAAAATTGAAATAATAAGCATATGTTTTAAGAAAAATTTCATTTGTAACACCTACTTTATTCTTTAAGTATAAATAATTGCAGTGATTATAAGTCAAACCTTCCTTGATCTGACTGATGCTGAATTAAGCAAGCATATTCTTTAAAACTAGAATCTTTTTTTTTTTTTTTTTGGCTTTTTGAGACAAGGTTTTCTTTGTGTAACAATCCTAGCTGTCCTGGATCTCACTCTGTAGACCAGGCTGGCCTCAACCTACAGAGATCTGCCTGTCCTGGATCTCACTCTGTAGACCAGGCTGGCCTCAACCTACAGAGATCTGCCTGCCCAAGTGCTGGGAGGTGTGTGCCACCACTGCCTGGCTAAAACTAGAATCTTATTTTAGCAAAGTGAAAGAAAGTTTTGTCCCAGCAATAATAGGCTTACTGCATTTTAACATTGATCATACTGGAAACCCATGCCCTTGTATCAGTTCTGATTCCTTGAACTACTTTTCCAGCGCTGCCCTGTTGTCATGGTTACTATTCACATGCCTTAGTCTCTTGCCCCCTCGTGATGTTCCTTAACCTTTAAATCCTCAATGAAAATATTTCTAAGGCAACCAAAGATACTCTTACCCACTGTTGTTTTAGACGCCGTCCATGCGGCTCATCTAATGGCCTCTCTCCTCTGCTTTTATTTACTCTACATTTACTATTGCGCGTGTGCGGGTGCATGCGTGCGTGCGTGCGTGCGTGCGAGGTTAGGGAACAATTGCGAGAGTCAGCTCTCTCCATCTATCATGTGTGTGCCGAGAGTTGAACTTAGATTACCAGGTTTGCTAGCAGGCATCAGGCCCCTCTCCTCCACCCTGAAATAAGACAACTGAGGCACACACACAGAGAAATTAACATGCCACAGACTAATTGGGAGTTGCAAGCCTCCATGTCTCTGGGGTATGTCATTCACCCATGATAACATCTTGCCTGAAGAAATAGTTAAAGAAGTTGGCTATACTCTTAATATAAAATGTTAAGCGTTAGAGATGTGTGTCTTAGAAGGTGATCTAATGAGAAAATGCTCCTAATAGAACTGTTACGTATAAAAACAAATCACGGATGTATTATGCTCACATACCTATAATTATATACATATGGAAAAAAAGACATATAAGGAAGCGATCTATCATGTGGTTATCTACCAGGGGAGGTTCTCCTGGTTTTTAATTTATTCATATTTTTTTTCCACTTCTATCAATAAAACGGTAAGGTCAGCGCTTCATAGAGTAACTAGTTCTGCTAGTCAACAAAACACTTGCCTGTGAGAACCTCCCAAGACCCCAAGAGCAAGGGGACGTGGAGACCCCAGTGGATGTCACCTGCTTCCCTGAGTTGTTAAGAGAGTGATGGAGGAGGGTTGCCAGGAGCTTGTCAGTTTTTTAGATCTGGGTAATTTACACCATCCCTGGGGCCCAGAAGGGTTGCTATGGGGAGCCTGGGTCTTTGTCAACAGATAATGCGGTTCAGTCTGCCGTACAACAGCAAGGCGCTTAGGCAGGTGTGAGGAGTGACTGCAGGGTCGCAGCCTGGCGCTGCGGAGCGCTCCACTTACCCCTGCCCTGCCCCGGAGCTATCATGGCTCTTCTCGCCCCATCAGAGCGCTCCCTTCTCGGAGCATCGCGCCTGCAAAGCCTTCCCAGATCTAGCTTACCTGCAGGGACATAGTGACGAGGTAAGGTATGCTGTGGCTCTCAGGCTCTGGGTCCCAGTCCCCAGGGCTTGGCCACTTTCTTCAAGAGAAGCGCTCCTCCTCCGGTCTCTCCTGTAGGTCAGGCTCTGGGCATGAACAACTCTAATTGGTCACGGGAGCTGGAGGGCGGAGCCGGGCGGTGGCCTGTACCCGCCCAGTCTCTCGGAGAGCCTGCCTGGGTTGTCTCTCCTTGGAGAAGTTTGCTAGATTACCACTCCGCTCCTGGCTCAAACTTCAAAAAAAAAAAAAATTTTTTTTTTTTTCTCTCAAGAGGTTGTTTGCAGGAAGCTAAGAGAGGTCTCCCCAGGACTTGGACCTCACCTGGGAGTCCTTCATCCTTCCTCTGTGATTTTAGAAATCTGGGGAGTGAGTGGCGATTACTGGGATCTCTCAAGTACCACCTCTCAGACTCATCAGGAGTGAAAAGGGACCAGGGGCTTGTGAACCTTAAGAAAGCAAAAATATAAGTTCTAAACTCGAGCTGCACTCATCTCCGCTGGCATTTAAATACAGCAAAGGCTGCAGCCTGTGTCGTGGGACCTAGATCTCCCCGGGTGCGAATTCACCATCACTCGGAGTTTGCAAGGTCCGGGGATGAAGCTGTGAACCGCATTTTGCTATGCTTCCGGAGAACTGGACAAAGATTCCAGTTCAGGAGGAGAATTTTGTGTCTGACGGATTAAAACAGATTTGTGGAGATGTGGACAGAAGAAAAGACACCCCGTTTTTAGAGAGACCGAGTTTAAACACAGAACAATAGAACTGGTGATGGAGGAAAAAAGGCCCCCAAGCTTTCTAACTTGGTTTTTGTGTAAAATGTATTTTAGAAAAATTTTGCTACTTTATTCGTGTGAATCTTGCTTTTTCCCCCTTTCTGATTAGTTTTTGGTGGTGACATTAATTTCTAACTACGGGACAAAAGGCAGTTTTGGAGCAGTGTCTGGGCAGCGCGTGGTCTTGGACATGGGAAGTGCATGGTGGGATCCAAGAGCAAAGGTTAGCTTCAGAACAGCGAGCATGCTCTGTTAGTCTAGTAGTGGCTGCTCAAAGTGTCCATCTGAAGTCTCAGACACTTTTGACACTGCAGTCGTTGTAAGACATTAGTAAAGGGAAGCCATACTGCTCTCTTTTATCCTGGAATGTTTACTATTTTTAAGATAGAGTCTCATGTATCCCAAGTTGCCCTTGAATTCCATCTCAGGCTGCCCTCCACCTTGTGATCCTCCTGCCTCAGTTTCCCAAGTGCTGGGATGATAGGCACCCCCAGAATGTTCAAGATCTCCTTTCTTAGCTGCTGTCCTCCACTCAGATGCCAGAGCCCTGCACGACTCTCCGAGGCTGCCGTTCATCCATTTCTCTAATTTCAGTCGGGCCTGTGGCTGTTCCCTTCCCTTTCCCTGCCGTGTGTTCCACCTTGGGCGTAGTGGGTTCCTGCGTTAAGACTAAAGCACTGTATGCAGAAGTTCAAAGTTGGTTCTTAAACACAGAGAATACAGGAGACACCTGTTGTCTGACCTCAGGGATTAAGGATATTGTCCTTGGGAATCTGAGGTACAGGGAACTGACATCATGCTTACTCGAGTATAAACAGATGGTCTCAGTCTATCAGGTGCTTTTTCTCCTTTCTGGCCTGATCCATGGAAGGGTGGTACCGCTACCATACCATTGCCTGGGAAATGCTCACACGTGACATCTTCCATTCCCATTGCTGCCACAGACACAGATGTCCATTGGGGTGTCCAGTGGACTTTCCGAGAGCACAGACTTGAAGTCTGTTCTTTGAAGTGGCAGCACATCATTAAAGTCCATTCTCAGTTAATGAATTTTTAAATGTTGGACTAATTGAAGACATGCAGGAAAAGCCATAATGAAACCAGTATTTTAGACAATTACTACACACTAATAAAAAAAACTAAAAACAAAATCATTATTATTAACAGTTTTCTTTGCAGAAACCACAAAATCACAATAGCACACAAGTAGAGAACAAGGGTCAGGATTCCATGGAAGAAAAGAAGAATCTGGTGTTCACTTGTTGCACTTTTTTTTTTATTGATAAGGCTTTTGTCAGTCTACGGCTACAATTTCTTACCCAGAATCTGAAACTAATGTTATATTGTTGTAACCTTTTCATCTAACAGTTCAAGAATTAACACAAACAGAAAGCTTCTATAAACCTTCTAAGTTACTAAAAGCTTCTATGAGATGTTCATAAACTTAACCATTATTTTAAAATAACAGCAGTCACTGAAAGTAAAATTGACCATGTGGTATAGGATACCAAATATATAGTAATTAAGGAAACTACAGGAACGATATTTTGAGACATACTAGAAAATGTTTTGTAGAAAAAAATCTGAACACAAACTGAATTGATATTACTGTTTTTTTTTTTTTTTTTTTTTTTTTTTTTTTTTTTTTTTTTAGCACACATCTATATGAAATGTTAGTAGATAACTGAACAAAAGTATGTGGGGGTGACTGCATCATCACAAAGGATTAAAAAAAACTTTAAAATAACTTTTTTTTTGTTTTGGTTTTTCGAGACAGGGCTTCTCTGTGTAGCTTTGCGCCTTTCCTGGAGCTCACTTGGTAGCCCAGGCTGGCCTTGAACTCACAGAGATCCGCCTGGCTCTGCCTCCCAAGTGCTGGGATTAAAGGCGTGTGCCACCACTGCCTGGCTAAAGTAACTTATTTTTGTTGTAACGTTTGTGTCACACAAATGGAAGAAATTACCTTTGAGATTTAGAATGTTCTTTTGGATAAAATTCTTGTGGAAATGTTGCCAACTTTCATGCAGTAAACAAGGACTAAAATAGTAGAGGATATATTTAATTTTTATGAACTTAATTCTGCCACAGATGTCACTGGGCCACCATGGTTCAGTCTGCCTGGCACTTGCTATGTGGCAGGCACTGTGGTAAGCATCTTATACAGAACTCTCTCCTAATCCTCAGGACAGGCACTATTTTTATCACTTCATCACTTGCCCGGGCGTAGGCACACTAGTCCCTGGGAAGGTCAGGGTTTGAACTTAGCAGCCTGGCCCCAAAGCCTTGTAATGTAGGAGGTGAAAGGTCAGGTCATGGGTAAACTTTAAGTCTGGAACTTTATTGAGACACACAGAGCCATTTCCTTCTTTCCCCTTACCCTCTTCTTCTTTTTCTCTCCCCCCTTGTGCCTCTCATTTTTCTTGGTTTCCCTTTTTTTTTTCTTTCTTTCTTTCTTTCTTTCTT